CTTCTCGTTTCCATCTTCTTTTTTTTGTCCCACTCTCTGACAACAATTTGTTACGTCTCTGGTTGTTTTTAATTTCCCGTAAAAATTATTTCCGATGAACTTCAGCGATACAAGTCCTTTCTTAAATAAAACTAGTTTATTCTTTCTCAATACAACTTTGCAATACACTTAATTTCCACAGTCACGCTATAACTTAAACAAACGTTATAATTCACAACGAGCAAACGATTCACGCGCTTGACTCAATTGTCGTCTCTATCTCTGTCTGCAGTTCAGTTTCCTTGTTGCCGTCACTTCTTGGCGGTCTTATATACAAGAATACCGAAAATCTAGTAAACACTCGGGGCTTCACGAAGGGACATGAATTTTCTAGAAGCTCATGACGTGTTATTAGCTTCACGTGACTTCCGCTATCGTAACAATATTCTATTATTAGACATTTTGAGAGAAACTAGACTTTTATCGGTAATTAAACTATTTTGTCTTCCTGATTCCCGAACCTAAGATAAATAATCAAATTCAAAATAATACATATACTAAGCCTTTTTATTTTATAATGGTTTGTACCTATTTATAATAAAAACGTAGTTCTTTAGTCTCACTATTAGACAAGTATCAGAAAATATTCATCATACTTTCAGCTGTGGTAGCGTCCTGTAAGACTAGAGGGAAGGCAGCTAGTCATCACCACTCACCGCCAACTCTTGGACTACTCTTTTACCAGCGAATAGTGGGATTGATCTGCACTTATAACGCCCCCACGGCTGATAGAGCGAGCACGTTTGGTGTGACGGGGATTCGAACCAGCGACCCGCACATTGTGAGTCGAGCGCCCTAGCCAACTAGCCATGCCAGGCCCATTTTGCTTCTTGCTGAGTTATAATCACTTATTTAGTGTCATTATTGATTCTGTTAATTTTTGCCTTAATGTTTAAGTTTTGGGTTAGGATGTAATGTCTACGCAATTGTCGCCTTTCTTTGATCAGTGTTTGAATTTCTAAAGTTATCTGCCACCTGTTGGTGATTAGTATTTTCTTAAAGAATGAAATATCTAAGGTTTTGGAAGGGCAGCAAGAAAAACGATTGTTGACTTATCTCATATATGTGTATGTGGCAACGATATAAACTCGTTGGTGCTCGTCGATGAGTTCTTGATTTTTTAGTTCGTGGGAGATTTTTTTCTGGTGTAATGTCGAACAGCACTCTTCAGATAATGATAAAAGTTGACTTGGACGCGTGGCTATCTCCGGGAACGTGTACGTGTAGCTTCGAACCATTGAATGTTGATGAGTCCCATGGCTTGAAGAACTTCGGGGGACCTTGGTCTTAATGACTTTTTTCTCCCTTGGCTAGTGTACTGACATTGGAGAAGTTTATCTTCAGGAACTGTCGGCGTAGTTCAGTTGAAATCTCTGGTTGCCTGTAGGCGGCGGGTATTCCTTTGACGACGATGGCTGATGGTGCTATGCGTGGTGTTTTTACTAGTCTTCTTTCCTGGAGACGAGGATTTGGTGCTGGCGGTATGCGGTGAACTGTGTGAGATGATGGAGGGTTTGCTGGAGATGTTCCATCAAGACTTTGTCGAAACAAGGCAAGTTGTTCTTCAGTGAGAGGTTTCCTGGTTGATCTTGTCCCCATACCTGGCGGGGTTGTCGACGTAGATGGGCTGGAGCTAGCATCTGAGTTAGACTTGGGCTCCGACATGGGCTCAGGTTACTGGTTTTCTTTCTCCATCCCATAATTTGGTGAAGAAAGAATAGTGTAGCGTAATAAAGTCAAGAGCTATTAGGTCTTTCGGGAGTAAAAGAAACGAACGTCTTTATTGTTCAAAAGTGTTAACCTCGTAACAAACCTACCACAGTTCCACATCTCAAGGTTGTAACTGTCCAGTAAGTGACCAGCATAACAGATGAGATACAGCTTGTTGCTTTAATGTCCGTTGTCACGTAGATACAATGAATTATAAACGCTGGAGAAGACAATTTTAACAATTTCTGTGACTGATCTGATATTAGGTCATAGTGGGACCTCTTGTGGCGACACGTGACAACAGTACACATTTATATTCGCGTGATATCATTATATCTCTTTATCACAAGTAAACAATACCACCTTCCTATATCATACTTTTTGTGATGTGCTGAACTTTCTTTATAATCATCCTATAGAACTTCAAATAAGACACATGCTTTCACTTCATTTAAGTTTCTAAAGAGATATTTCGACATTTTTCTGTTTGTTTAGATATTTCTTGGATACACAAGATTGTTTGCTGTAGACGTTATTATTCAATTCATTTTGTAAGTTCATAATTAAAGATTGTTTAGTTTTCCATAACAGGAGAGTTCAAAGTAATTATTTTAAAGGTGACAAGTTTGTTTACGTAACTCGGTAAGAGTCGTACGTTGTGCTTGCAATTCATTGTTGTCGAGATTTAACTAATATTGTTGACGTCACATTACTCGAATCTTCGTTATTTTTCGAAGCTTAAGTAAATAATGTATTTATATAAGTGGCTGTGGAGCACAAGTTAATAAGAAGGAAGAACTAACGAAGCAAAGTTCAGTAAAGTAAAGTTCAGTCATAAAACATGAAGTTAGCGGGCGTGTGTCTGATTAGTTTTAACAGGTGATATTTTAAAGTGAGTTTCACAGTTTAACAGAGATAAGAATAATACGTTATCTTGTCAAAAAGTGTTCTAAGGTAATTGAACTCTTCTATGTGGACTTTGATGAAAAGAAGACAATAATTTAGTGTAAAGTATTTTTGTATGTAGTTCGACTTGTTTTGAATTTATCATTTTAAAATAAGTGGAGTGTGTACTGTCCGTTTATTGTCGAATTTATCGCCAACAAGTCACAGACACCTACTGTACAAGAATCCTCAGCCCACATATACCATAAAACCCTGACACCCAATGTTTCTTTCATCACGGGCTCAGTCCCTCGGACCGACCTCTTAACCATTTTGTGCTTGTTATAGTTCTGATGCTATAACTTTTAAATTAGTAATCGAACGTTCAAGAAATTTCACAGATTATCCGTCCCTAATTTAGCAGTGTAAGACTAGAGGGAAGGCAGCTAGTCATCACCACCCACGTCACGTTAACTGTTTCATAGATGAAAGGTCGAGCATGTTTGGTGATGACCAGCAGATTGAGATTCTATCGCCCTGACCACGAGATATTGCGAGACTCTGACAAGTAAGTAATCTATTTGTAATTACGTTCAAACTTCCCACAGTAAAGAATTTATCTCAGCCCGAAACTTGTTCTTGACTACTGATTTTAAACCTAGAATTGCCAATGATGTCAGTATCGCATCAGTATTTTAAACAGATTTTGTTAAATTATTCATGGACCAATATTGCTGTGTATCCATGACTTTGTTGGTTACAGCATCCATAATAACCTGTATGTCAGACAAAACTTTATAAACAAAAATATCGTCAATATTGGAAATAATCCACTAAATACGTCTAGATTTCACATATTTTTATAGGTCAATTTTCACACTGACTTTTGTAGTAGACAACCTTAAACTACTCAATATGGTGCAATATCTGGACACATCTGGACAGAATTTAAAAAATCAGTAATTTCAAAATGTAAAGTTACCCAAGTGTGAAGAGCTGTTAGACTTCGTTTGTATTTGTTATTATAAAGCTGATCTAAACGAAAAAAATTTTAATGTGCAACTCCGTCTACAATCTTCTACTAAACCAGTTTTACTTGAATATTATAAATTAATAAAACAACGAACTCAGCAGTTAATGATTTTTAAAAACTAAAGAGGAAAATACATTTAAATAAAACAAAGTTATCCGTATCTCGGTAAATGTCTTCTTTGAAAAAATGTATAAATTATGAATTAAAGAAACGTAATAATATTTTAGTGTTAATGACGACAATTCTTTAAACTTTTAAACAAATACTGGCCATCATGAACTGTATACAATATTTCATAACTGGATGTTAACTTGGTTTCTAGGTAAAAATAATAACACTTTGTTTATCCACAATTTGTTATTTCGTGATATAATTGTGATATAATATACAATATAATTGATGCTAAAATTAAAATTGTTAATAAAATATCTTAATGTACAAAGTTGGAATGATTAATAAAACTTGGTTACTATGAATTTAGTAAATCTGTGTTTTTAAAACAAAACCATTACAACATATGATTGTTAAACTGTGTCGTCACCACATTGTTACAACAAGAAGAAAGAAATATTGCACCATGAACTGTATACAATATTTCACAACTGAATACATCTTTCTTGTCCGTTACTCTAGAACTGATGGAGACAGAATAAGGCGTAACTAACAGTGGACACTTTTATATAAAACTTTTCAACACGTGACATTGAAAGTGATTCAACCTCACGTGACTTTACGGAGTTGCCTAACTTTTGTACTGAACCTGTTTATTTGAGTCTTTTCGACAACTGATGTTGCTCTTTCTAGTGACGTCACTTTGTAGCTTCTATGTAGCCACAGGTATGGTTGTTTTTGTTACGTGTTCTATGTATGAGAGTTGATTCCGAATAACATAAGAAAGAACCCGACTTGTTTTTGGTCTTACACTACATTTGTGTAATATAAATTCATAACTAAGTTTCAACTTAGAAGTTTTTATGTCAAATTGCATGACATAGAAACATTTTATATCGCAGAATTAATTATCCTGAAAAACAAGTGTGTTTTGGAATACCTTAATTGTAAACATTATCTGATGATAGGTTAATAATTTTCAATTATAACTACAAGACATGAAACAGTTATTAAACCAAATGTTTAGCTTTCTAAGGTTTATTACACTTCACCTATACGCTTTTCAAGTGACAGTGACTGCTTCATATCTACACAGGTCACGACTGCACGTCTCCACCTGACCCAGGACCTGTTATGGTTATTTCACCAGGTCTGGTTTCATAAAATTGTACAGAAAAACAACTGTAAATTACCCTAATTGATGCTAAGCTTAGCTTGCTAACGTTTCTTATCGTTATTGTATATAGTTTTCAAGTGACAATGACTGTCTCATTTCTTCACAGCTCAGGATAAAGACTGCAAGTCTCAACCTGTTACAGGACCTTGTGAAGCTTATATCCCCAGTTATTACTACGATCCAAAGACCCATCAATGTAAGACATTTATTTACGGTGGTTGTGCGGGGAATGGAAATCGATACGAATCACTAGCAGACTGCTTGGCTTCTTGTTTAGGTTTGTAAACAATGTTTCCTGTGTTGTTCTTCTGTATCTAAAGAAATGTTTGTAGTAACATGACGATGTATACTATATTTACTAACACGCTACTTGGTAGAAATGCGGAAAACAGACAAAACTTCAAAATGTTCAATGTACACTACACGTATTTCCTGTATATTTCTAATATTGACTTCAAACTAAACAAATCTAGATATAGTTACAAAGTCGTGATCTCAATAATATATAAATCCTCTTTTTTTTTCAGGAACGAGGTAGAGTTGAAGATTTCGGGAAAAGCGGACGATCATGTCAGAAGCTGACAGTTTATGTTATCACATGTCAGATATATCTAAACATGTTCGTGTTCAGTAGATTGATAACACAGCATAAAGTCTTGTTTGTGGATTATTGAAGGTTTCTAATACTGGAAAATAAAAACTAATTTGAAGTCTGAACTAGAATCTTACTAATTTTCTCATCATTCGTTTCAATAACAAGAAACCTATATTTTAAACAGTTATCTGACATAGTTATCCAATAACCTATAGGTTGAACATCATTATCAGATAACCCAAAGGTTATGAGTAGTACTTCAAAACTATAATTATGATCACACAATTAATGTTCATGATAGCTTAACATCAAACTAATCTCCGAGTAGAGCACTCTAATTATGCACGTTGAGAATTAACAGTAAGCCAGTTAAGTTCTGAATTAATTACCATAACCCCTCACAGACACACACTTCCACAAAAATAATTCTGGATCCGAGTTAACCATCTGTTGGAGTATGAACTAAGGTTATTGAGTTCATCACAAGTGAGCAGAACCAGTGTGACAAGTACGGATATAGAATCAAGTCTGCGTTAACATATAATCTAGTGGTAGAGTGTAGGCTTGAAAAGTTTTCAAGTGAAACCCTAACACTAAGAAGTGAATATTTCTTCATATTCTTAAATTAAAAAAATAAATTAAACGATGAGCATGTTCATCAGTTAATAATGAATATCGACTCAACCGAGTTAAATGTAAAAAACAATACCCAGGTGCACACCCTCAGAATCCCCTTAATAAGCATGCAAAGTTACAGGTCTCTAGGTTCTTTCCTCTTGGAGCTATGGTAGTCACACACACACAAACAGATAAATAGAAAGACTCCTTTCTTATTATAGAATTTAAAGTTGATCGGGACGTAGTAATTCTTAACTTTTACAGTCTTCCACGAGACCAGTTTTACGTGAATTTTATAAACAAATAAAAAAACGAGCTTAGGATTTAAAACGCAAAACATTTGAAGAAAAAGTTTGACTCTGTGCTAAAACCGAGGATTTTCAAATAAAGAAGCTTGTCTCGGTTCTTTTGTTTGATTCTATAGATAAAAGATTGTTAAAATATTGTTTAACAGTTAATGGGGAGTTAAGTATGCATATACTTTAAAATACTTCGTTTTTATTCGTTATTATAAAGCTGATCGAGACGGAGTAAGTTTTAGTATGTAACTACGTCTACAATGTTCTACTAGACCAGTTTTACTTGAATTTTATAAATAAATAAAACAACGAACTCGGCAGTTAATGACTCTTAAAACTAAATCTGAAAGTATATTTTAGTACAACAAAGATATCTGTATGTCATTAAATGTCTTCTTTGAGAAAATGTACAATGCCGATTATCTAGAAACCAAGTTGACATCCAGTTGTGAAATATTGTATACACTTTATGATGCAATAATTGTTTGTTCTCGTTGTATTAATGTGTTTACTGCACAGTTTAGCAATTATATATTGTAATAATTATGCTTGTTAATCACTGGTTAACTTAATTCTTAGTAATGAAGTTTTATTCACAACTTAAGCTTTTTTATTAACAACTTTAATTTTGTAGCATCAATTCTACTAATACATGTATAGTATATATTTTTTTCTTTTTTAAATCAAATAGAACAGGTTCAGTACATCATTAAAAAATTAAAAGGTACTCGTTACTCAGGTCCGAAAAGTCGCGTGAGGTTCGATCAGTTGTCAATGTCACTTGCTGAGAAGTTTTGTATAACGTTACTTTGTAGCTTCTACGTAGCCACAGTTATGGTTGTTTTTTGTTTTTTTTCATGTTCTGTGAGAGTTGATTCCGATTAACATTAGAAACTGATTTGTTCTGGTCTGATGCTACATTTTTTTGGTAGATTCATTATTAAGTTTCAACTTACAAGTCTGGGATCTTGATGTCAAGTTATATGACATAAGTAGTAAGGGAGGCACTTTAGCTGATTGGCTACCTCGGGGCATGGGGGGGGGGGGAAGATCATAGTTTATATTTTTGCATGAGTGTGTGTGTGACAGGCGACCATGATGTCCAAACGTGTTTCGACATGTATTTAATTAAAGACCCTATAAAAGGCTTATTTATACTATAATTAAAACTTACTCAAATGATTAAAGATTTCAGTGATATTATTATAATAAAAATTCTGGACACAATAATTCTTTTTAATAATTCATTTTCACAATAACGATTTGGCAATCTGATCTACATAAAATGACATATCTATTAAAGACATATTTACATGAAGGGTTCGTATTCCCGTCCCACCAAACATGCTCGCCCTTTCAGCCGCGAGGGCGTTATAATGTGAC